TGTTTCCTGGGACAAGTGGGAGAAGACCAGGCTCGCAAACTAATTACCTAAAGTCTCCATTGTAGTTCCTTTTTTTGGTTTAACCAATTCTATATTAAGGATCCTAGAAGGTAACCCCCAAAAAGGAACTACAACGGAGACTATAGGTACTGACTACCCATCCCAGCGCCCGAATGCCGTTGCTAAGCCTGCAAGGCCCAGCGAAAATAAGGACCTGAATGATTACCAAAATTATTCCTTCGGGTTCTTGGCTATGATCTATCCCAGACCCCCGTCCTGGGCATTAAATTCGAACTTTGTCTGAGAGCCATAGAAGGCCTGAAGAATTCGTAGCGGAGGCTGGTGCGCTCAGCTCTGCCACGTAAGATGCGGGTTGGAACAAGGAGTATAATATAGGGGCCTTAATAATTAGAAGAGAGCTTTGGGGGCATATTATACTATAATTGCAATAAGGAACCCCAAAGCAATATGGGTAATTATTAAGGCCCGTATAATAGCATAATATGCCTCAAACCCCCTTCCAATCATTAGGGCCAATCTGTTATGTGCGAGGACTTTGAGGGGTTCAGAGGTTTCCGAGATTACCTCGGGCGCGCATTTTGAGGTTCGTGTTTGTGTGCGTAAGCGTCGAAGCTTTGAAGAACAACTCGTTCTTTGTCGGACGTGGGGGATCACGCTGGGTCTCAAGATTGAAAGTTTTCGGGTTTTGTTCCCCAGACCACCCACATCTACCCAGCTTCAGAAGCGCAGGAGAAAAACCTTTCTGCACAAAGGCTCGTCAAGAAGCCCCAGACCTTGAGCCCTCTTCCGAGCAACAGCTGAACAAACATATGACATACCCAGAAGCTATCAGATGACTGAACCCCCTAAATCATAAACCCTAAATTATGAACCCTAAGCCCTAAACCTATACCCTAAAGCCCTAAGAAGTTATCCTGAAGCCCTAAGAAGCTATCCTAAAGCCCTAAGAAGCTATCTTAAAGCCCTAAGAAGCCCAAACCCTAAACCCTAAATTATAAACCCTAAACCTAAACCCTAAACCCTAAACCCTAAACCCTAAACCTATTCCCTAAAGCCCTAAGAGGCTTTGGGTTTCTGAGAGCAGGTATCGCATCGATGTGAGATGCGACTCTGGCTCGGTTCCCAGGCCAGAGTTTCAGACAAAACCGGTGGGTTGCGAATAGCCTATCGGTTTAGGGTTGAGGGTTTAGTTTAGGGTTTTAGAGTTTAGGGTTCAGGGGTTAGGGTTTAAGGTTTAGTTCAGGGTTTAGGGTTTAAGGTTTAGTTTAGAGTTTAGGGGTTGAGGGTTTAGGGTTTAGGGCTTATCCTCAAGTGGGGGAAACATTTAGACAAGTTGTAATTTTGTACTAATAGTACTCGGATCGAGTGAGACTGCTGCTACTAGTAACCGTGCTGACAACCATATGGGCCCGTAAGCTTTCGATTTGTTGCTTCTTGGTGGCTAGAGTTGAGGTTTAAGCGTTCCGGAAGGCTCTCTGTTCAAGAACGGTGTTGAGGTGCTGTGATCCTGCGCAGAATTGCCAGGTACCGGCTTGGAAGCATCATTGCCTATGCTCACACCCGTGGCATGGCCTTATGTCAGAACATTTTTCAGAATCATTTTCCACACTTTGGGAATAGATCGTTTGAGCGGCAACTCAGGGGACATGCACACGGAGGAGATCCAGCAACTAAAGGACAGGCTGCTACCCTAAACCCAAAACCCAAAAACCCTAAACCCTGAACCCCAAATCCCTAAACCCAAAAACCTATACCCAAAACCCTAAACCCAAAAACCCTAAACCCTAAACCCTAAACTCAAGGACAGGCTGCTACCCCAGGAGGAGCTGCTGAGGCAGCAGGAGGAGATCTTCCGGCGGGAGGAGAGCCGGGAATCGAACAAGAAGGACTGGGTTCTGTAGGGTTTAGGGTTCTGGGGTTTAGGGGTTTAGGGTTTAGGGTTTAGGGGTTTAGGGTTTAGGGGTTTAGGGTTTAGGGCTTAGGGTTTAGGGTTTAGGGTTTAGGGTGGGTTCTGGAGTACCATACTTGAATACTTTTGTTTGGGACCTATTCCTTAAAGGAACCAATATGAAATAAAAGTCTGTCCTTTTTCTCCCTGGTTCAAAGTCCCGAGGAGCAAGTGGAGAAGCTGGCACGGGACCGGGTTGCTGCAGCGGTTCTAGGGCTCTCGAAGGGATTCTAGAAGGCTTTCTTTAAGGTTTCTACATCTGGCCTAGAAGGGTCTATATGGGTTTCACAGGAAATTATCGGCAACCAGAGCGTCATCGCCTTTGCGGGTCAGGGCACCATCAACTTGTCCGACCTTCCGCGCATCAACCACTGGTACAAGCAGATTGTGGGGTCACAGGAGGGACTTTCCGCCAAAATTAGGGTACCTTATTTTGGGGTACTTATAAAAAGGATCCTACTCTTTATAAGGTACTATTTTAGGGTCCCCTATCTTCGGAAACCCCCAGGTGGAGCCGTCGCATGTGGATGAGCTTTCGCGCCTAATCCCGAGCGATCCTTCTTCAACCTCGTAGTTCTGATCTGTCTAGGTTTTAGGGTTTAGGGTTTAGGGTGGTTTTAGGCAGGCCATACTGCCAAAAGCACGCATGTATGCGCCATGACGGATGCAGCGCAAAATGATGCAGCGAGACTGCTCTGTTCAACTATCCTTAGGAGTCGCAAGCATCTTGGTCCCATCATAATTTGTGCAGAATCATCGTCGAAACACAACAAAGGCGTGATTTTCACTTCTGTGCGACTTTGGGCTCATAAAGAAAAACATGTTAGTGCAGCAAGCAGTGGCACCTCTGTAGTTCACAGGGAGATCTGCTCAGAATTCCAGTCTCGCTGGTTCTAACGGAGATCGCTTTTGGAAAGAAGCCTTGTAGCGACCCATGTTGGTTTCAGGAGTCGCTACTAAACCCTAAACCCTAAACCCTCAACCCTAAACCCTAAACCCTAAAGTGCGCATTGCACCTCTTATCTACTCCAGATGCCCTGGAGCCACAAACCAAAATTTGGGTTTAGAGTTTAGGGTTTAGGGTTTACATGCCACAGGACTAAATCTCAGCAGGCCATGTTCCACATCCTAACTGAAAGGCATCGCGAAGCACGAACACCTCGACATCCTCGGCCCCGGCAAACCTGCATCCGCTCTTGCCCTAACCCCTGAACCCCAAACCCCTTAAACCCTAAACCCTAAACCCCTAAACCCCCAAACCCCTAAACCCTAAACCCCTAAACCCTAAACCCTAACCCCTCAACCCTAAACCCTAACCTCTAAAACCTAAACCCCTAAACCCTAAACCCCTAAACCCCTTAAGCCCTAAAACCCAAGACCTTAACCTCTAAGTCGAAGCCATGACCCGCGGGCAGCTGCTGGAAGTCTGGCCGCCAGGCCAGGGGCAGGGTTTAGGGTTTAGGGTTTAGGGATGGTTTGTGGTTTAGGGTTTAGGGCTTGAGGGGTTTGGTTTAGGGTTCAGGGTTCAGGTTTTAGGGTTTAGGGTTTAGGGTTTTATTGTTTAGGGTTTAGGGGTTTGGGGCTTAATGTTGGGGTGCGTTTAATAAACCCTCCGCCCCCCCCCCCCCACCCCGGAGGTTGTTTTGCGCGGGGGTCTCTTGGGGGAGGGTTTGGGTGGGGGGGGTGGTAATAATAAATTCGTTTCCGTGTCTGGGGTTCGTAGTAGCAGCAGTATTAAGGCCTAAGAATAGCTGCTGCAGTTCCTGGAATCCAGAGTCCCTGGCTTCAGGCCAAAGCTTGCAGCCCTCTCACAGCAGAGCCTTTGTTTGGAGGCCCATTTGCTTTTGCGGAGTCTTCTGAAGAAAGCCTTGCTTCCGGGACCCCCCCGCCCCGGCCGGGTTTATTATTATTATCACCCCTTTTATTAAT